TTTTTTTTTTTTTTTGTCGAAACGATAGATTTCAATATAAAACTCGAAACAAGAACATAGTTCCAATAACAACGGGGCTAAACCCAATGAAATCCTGAACTAAAAAATGAGAGAAACCATCTACAAGATGGCCTAGAACCTCAAACAATGAACCAAAAAGCTAAAAGCATACAGAAATCTAGCCACTGCTAAAAGCCTAGCATAAATCCTGCACCCCAACCAAACTAAAAGCCAACAAAAACCAGAAAAATAAAACAAAGACAACTAAGAAATGGACATAAACTCCAGCCATTCAGCATGACCTGATTTCAACACCAGATGGACAGGGATCGGAGAGCTTTGAAACACCCAGAGGATGCGAGTCTTCCGTAGCCACCAAAGTAAATAGGTAGTTAGCTGGATTCTGTGGCTTGAGACTTCAGAGTTGGCTATGGAACAAACTTGCAACCACCAATGCTTGAAGGACATCACTTGTTGATCAATGTCATCCCAAGATATGGGTGCAATGGCCCATAGATTCTAGGCTCTGGTACATGTGAGAAGTAAGTGTTCAGTAGTTTCTTGAGCCTCTCCACAACATTTACAGCAAGTGTCCAACTCCAGCCCTTTTTTCCTGAGGTTAACCAGGGATGGAAGAGTGCCATTGATACATTTCCAAAGAAAAAGCTTGAGCTTACCTGGAAGATGTAGAGACCAGGTTCTCTTAAGGGTGTTCCTCATAGGAATAGCAAAGGAGCTACTTTCAAGCAGATCTGTTGAGAGAACTTTTTGCAATGCCAGATAGTTATAAGTGCTTCAGACTGAGAACTCCCCTTTCTTATTAACACTCCGGTAAATTCTGTCCTCTGTATTTGGTTTTAGAGATTTGATAGCTAAAATAGATTTACTGTCCTCAGTAGAGAAAACATGTTCAGTGAGCAATTTATTCCAGTTATGGCCATCTGGGAGAATCAGATCCTTAACATAGATTAGGTGGCCTCTAGCAATGTCAAGCAACTCAGGCTTAGGCTTAGATAACAAAGGAACCCAGTTAACATCATCAATCCTTGTTTGTAAGCCACTTCTAATCTCTATTTTCAGACAGTTAGTGAAAACAGGAAGAACATCCAACCAACATCTCCAGAGCCAAGAATCTTTGCGTGATTTGACAGTATGAAAAATGGAAGAATTTAGGAAATACCTGTCTTTCAAAATTTTGCTAACAAGCAGATCAGGCTGTGAGATGACCCTCCATAACTGTTTGCATATTAAGGCAATGTTAGACAGCTTAATGTCATGAAAACCAATACCTCCATCTAGCTTTGGCACAGACAGTCTAGACCAGCTTCTCCAATGAATATCAAAAGAACTGTCTTCTTTGGTGTTCCACCAAAATTGAGCACACAGCCTGGAGATGTCTTTACAGGTGGCTTGAGGAAGCTTGAAACATGACATAGAAAATATGGGCAGAGCTTGGATTACAACTTTTAACATCACCTATTTTCCAGCTGAAGAAAGAAGCTTTGATTTCCACCCTTGCAATTTGGTCTGAATAGATTCAAGCATATAAGCAAACATGTAACACCTTGCTTATCAGAGTAAATTTTTCGCAACTTTTACTTCGAAAATGCTTATAAATTTTTCGAAATCTTCTGCGCTTAACTCAGGATGCTACTAAAACTTATCTTTTCTGAAATTCGTTATTCTTTAAACTTGGTTTAATTACTGATTTAGACATAAAGAAAACAAATTTTAAATCTTTATCGAAACAAGTATGTAAAACTGAAAACCTGTTCATACTGGCGAACCGGTTAAATCTGTAAATCTGAAAATACTTAACATGCAAGTTCAAAGCTTAATGCGTAGCGGAAAAGTCTTAAAAGCGTGAATAATTTTACAGACATAAAAAGTCCATAAATATCCATTGAAACAAATTCACGACCAGCACCACCACATCTAGGCTCACACCTCCAGACCGACCTTGTTACCTGAAAAACATAATGCGGGTGAGTACCGATCCTCTTGTACTCCATAAAAACCCATACTAAAGCAAACAACAATAATAATATCAATATCATGATCATCAATATTTATCTGAACTTAATCTCTCGGTATATGACCGGTAACTGTAACTGAACTGTACAACTACCGGTAACTGGCCGGTTCTCAAGTGATCACATTCTAGGGGTTGCCTCTCACAGAACCCAGTGTAACTTAACTTAACTGGGCGAGTTATCTTAATATGGACCACGAACGGAATAACTCCATCGTTCGGGTAAATCTCCACATACATACATCAGACATGATATCAATATTATAATCAATGTAATACCCAGGCTGGGTCCCCACCTTTCTTGTTTGACAATCTTTGAAAAACGTAAGTGTTGTTCTAGGTAGCTGACTCCTCAAGCTACAAAAATATAAGCAAATAAATACTAATTACTATGCTCGTAACACTCTCAATAAGATGCTAGGATGCTTTACTTTAACTGATAACTTATCCGAATTTTAAAGTGGTTCGATTGGGCCGAGATGGCTCAAATGGTTACTATGTCAAAGCGAACAACTTAACTTTTCTTGAACTTTTACTCGAGTCTGAATACTTACACATATAAATCATGACTTCTAGGGCTTGGATATTGGCTTATACTTGTATGTAACTTAAAATGACTCGGGAGTGAAAAATAAACTAAACTTCACATGATAATTGATCGAGTACATGAACTCAAAACATGCTCAACTTTTACCAACATCATATACATGATTTACAAGGATTTATTAGCTATCTAACTCAGCTTAATCATAATTGGTACTAAAAAATTTGAATTTAAAACATTCAACTCAAGTGTTAATCATAACATGAAATTATGCTATTTACATGCGAGACTTCAAACAATTTTATAAAATCGTATATTCGACATATTAAGCTGAACTTGGTCCAATAGTTCATCCCTCATGTGAGAATGTTACATAAAATTTTCACTTTAAAAACTCGAACTTGTACTGAGTACTCTTGCATATAAAATCATCTTGACATGCATGGGGTATAAACATTTTAACTCATTCATTTCTCAACCTAAAATCATGAAATTTGGCAAGCATGCTCTCAACACATATGTAGACATATCATAATAATTTCATAATTTTATCATACATATATCTCGAGTTATTCCCATTTAAAGTCACTGTTGTAAATATGCACATAAAATTCAGCTTGCATGATAAACATTAAAAATCTATAACTCGAGCTATACTTAACCAAATGACATGATTCTTGTTCCTATATACTCCGCACTTACTTAAGAAATAGCCATAATAAGCTTAACATTCCAGGTTATACATAGCATGCTTAATTTTGAAATCAAACAACACATAACAATCATGCATACGATCTAGCATAACTTCTTACTTCATGGAATGATTATAAATACTTAAAGGCTGGAACTTTAGCACATTCTAACACATATTAAGGCACTTTAAATTATCTATAAAGCATGCTAAAGGATTGACTTCTTACCTTCTTCTTCTTGCTCGAAAATAAAATTTGAACTTGCTCCTCTACTTCTTCAAAAATTAAAACTCATCTATTTTTATTTCTAAATGAAATATATGATTTTTGGAGCTTGTCTTTGATGAAAATAATCTGATTCAATGCCCATATTTATAACCACAAAAAGGGGACAAGATGATTGAGTGAAAAAATAAACAAAATAAACAAAACTAAACATGTAAATATAATTAAAGATTAAAAATGAAAAGCTTAACTTATAAACTTTACTAATATATAGTCAATGCTCATAAATGGCCATTTGCTGACATATCATCTTATCTCAATCTAACTTTGATGATAAAAATTCGTGACATAAGGAAAAATATAGAATTTACGGATCCAATTCTGACTTAAAATAAACAGTTACCGCAAAATCTAAAATTCTAAAAATTTTCGGATATCCTTCTTTTTCTTTTGGCATTTTTCCTTTTTTTTGCTGAAATTTTTTTCTTATCTTGTAGTCTACTAAAAATATATAGAGAAAATAATTTAATTTATTTCTCAGTACTAAAATCGGACTTAAATTACAACTACAATCGAAAACCGAAAAAAAAAAAAAAAAACAAAATTCTAAAACTTTCATATTTCTCTCTAATAATTTAAATAGACTAAAATGTCTAAATAAATTATTTTACTCAAATTATTAAAATATACACTCATGTCAAATTAATTATAAAAATTGTCAAACAACTCGAAATAATTAATCCCTACTAATAAAGCCCATTTCTAAAAATAAACGAACCAGAATTAATTAATGAACTGACTCGATTACTAAATAAAATTTAATCGAAAATACTTTCGACTTAAAATCAAACTTATAACTGAATAACTGCCTCGGAACTAGGACGAGCATTATTAGTAAAAGTAAATAGTTCAAACTAGGAACTAACTAAATGGGATATTACAATACCCCCCTAAAATCATTTCCCTCCTCGGAAATACTGAGACTGGATACATACAACTGAGTACATATCAGAACACAAAATCTGGAAAACGAGTCTTAATATCAGCTTCTCGCTTTCAAGGGTTTATAACTTTCCGTGGCGATTCCGTCTGATACTAACGAGGAAAATATCTTGATTTCTAAGCCGATGAACCTTTCGGTCCA